GAGAGAAAAGAAGTGCATTCGCTACATTCAAGGTGAAGGCAGCTGTGCCAGTCCTCCTTCTTCGGACGGAAGCTTACTAGAGTCCCCCCCATCCTCCCCCTCCATGGTCTCTCCCTCCCCGTCCTCGAAAGAGTCCAAACTACAGACTGAACAAATGCAACCTCTCTCACTGACTATGAAGCCGCCCCCCCTGCTCTCATCATCCCAACACCATCACCTCTCCATGGCTCCGCCTCCACCTTTAGCTCTGTTGGACAACTCCGGGGCGGGCAAAACGTCCGGCTCGGCACACAACGGCCCCTTGGACCCCTCAGACGTGTCGTCGTCCCGACCCACAGGCTCCGTCTCCTCCAGGCCCACATCGGCATGTCATTCCCACTCTCTGCTGCCCAGCTCCACCATGACTCAACCCCTTTCACTCGTAACCAAGTCGATAGACTAGCTTCGTTGTTTTTTAAACCAGCTTTCTCTCTGTCTGTCCGTCTGTCACGCATCTTGTCTTTTTTCATTCTGCATTCTGATTCTCTTGTTTTTTTCTGTGCGATATGGCTATGAAAATTTCGTTAATTCTTTATCAAAGTTCATTGGTCAATATTTGACCTGTCATTATCTAAAAAATGAAATTATTATGATTAAATATTGATAATTAAATACACTAAGTTGTAGAGTATAGCTTTGTGAATCTGCCAAATTTTTTATGAATTTTTTGGGTTCGTTTTATTCATGTTTTGCTTTTTGTTTTACAGCTGTACAACAGAAAAATGCATAATTGTTATGTAGTTTTACATAGCAACTTATATATATATATATATATATATATATAAATTATCCATTTTTACAAGGAGGTTTTGAAATTTCAAATGTTTTATTGTTTTGACATGAATTTTATTTTTATTTTTTTGTTATTTTCTTGAAAACCAGGATTCCACCTAAACTACAGTGTAGATTCTCAAAAAAAAAAGCAAAAACGCAAAAAAACAAAAACAACAACGAACAGACGTATGCACAACTTAATTTCTAGAAACATATCTATAAGCCATTTTACAATAGGTGAAAAGGAAACTTGAAATGGGGACGGTGGGTTCCATGTCTTCAGTAGTCGAATTTCGTCTCAAGCCCTTCTTTTCTATTTGCAGTCTCATCTCCGCCAGACTGTAGAATTGTGTACAGATTTTTTCCCGTGCCAAAATTTGTGATAATTTCCTCTCCACCTCTTATGACGCTGTAGGTTCTTTCGTTGTCCAATGTTTGTTTATTTCTTTTCTTTTTCAACCATAATTTGCTGTGACGTTACATAGATTGCTATGTATGTTACTTGTTCTTGTTTAAATGTACAGAAATATGGGGGGTTACTGTGTTAATATGCATTGTTCCATTGCGTTGTCCGTTTTACCTTTCTTTTTTGTTGTTTACCAGGGGGAGGGAGGTTGACTCGGGTTGGGGTGGTGCTATGTATGTAGTATAAATGTTGCTATAACAAATGTGTTTGGTAGCAGATTGTCAAATAATAAAATTTAAACTTAAAAGACGGACGTCATACTGTATAAACCTTGAAGGGCCAAATTATGTACATTAGGAGGTTCATAAAAAACGATTAAATACTACAAAAAAACACAAACTGCCACTTTTAAGTACACTACTACATATAGGTAGATAGAAAAAATAGGCATGTTGATGTTGCAAGAAGCTGTAAAAAAGCTACAAGAGAATCATTCATTCGGTGCCATTGTAGTTGACATGACGCAACTGTAACCCGTCGATTACTTCTCTGGTTTATTAAGATGCTAATGATGAATAGTTTGAATGTTTCCTTAACGGCTGTGATGTTCCTGTTCTCTTTTATGCTCTTATATATTTTTTTATTTTGGTTTGTTTTTATTTCATTTTTTGTTTTGTTTTGTTTTGTTTTCCATTATTTGAAATGGTTCTCAAAAACCATGTTTTGTAATGAATAAATGTTAATGCTGTACAGTCTCTGTAGCATGCAGTTCTGTATTAATAAAAGCGAGTTAGTATGTGAACTTGCCTTCTGTCGTCTAATGCCCTTCATTTGAATAAAACTGGATGAAAAAAAATATATATTTTTTTTCTTTAAATTTATAAAAAGTATCATTTAAAATATTCAAATATTTATTGATTTCAGTCACTAATTTCATTTCGTTTGGATTTACGTAATACATTTAAAATTTTGAATGTTTCTCTATCAGGTGCCATTACCATAGCATCTGGGCCCAAACAACTGTTTAAATAATCTATAATATTTGTGATAGTATATAACCATAGTATATGGATGTTATTTAAAAAAAATAGTTGTTAACAGCACTATAATAAGTCAGCATTTGACAGTTACAATCCATATTTTTTCAATAATTTAAAATGCTTATTAAATGCCTAAGAACCAGGGGTGGAACCAGCACACCGGTCACATGCTGGTTTCTTCAAAAAAAGTGTTATCTAAATGAATGTTGCACGCTCTTACTCTGATAAGAATTACAGACAGCAGTAATGATGATTAATGCTAATGAAACTGTGCCAGATCAACCTGAAGGTAGAAGATCCCTGTGGTTATACTGTCTACAGCTGGTTTCACTCAGGCTGGAATTCAGCACAATTCAGGATCCGTTACTTTAACTAGGCAGAGTAAATCAGTTAGTCATTTGCTTAAGGGATTAAAAGTAATCAGAACTGGTATTTGATATTATAAAAAATGTTTAAATCGATTTCAATAATTTGGTTAACACAGACACCTCTAGAGGAATGTTACATGTTCTTGCACATTATTTTCATTAATTTGGCAAATCAAAAAAAGTCATGGTCCAGTTGTTACACACCAGTTAAAGATGCAATTTTTTCTGTCATGTTTTTTTTTTTTAAACAGAACAAGCAGACGTGAGCCACTGATATATTCTATACAACAAAACATCCAGACCTTGCTGTAGTGTTGCTTTCGTCAACGAAAATTATGACTAAATATCGTCGTCAACGAACCTTTATCACGTGACGAAAACGAGACGAGACGCAACGTAAATGATGTGACGATGACTATAATTAAATGTATAATGCAATATTGTTGATGAATAAAAACGAGACTAAATGTGGTTTACAAAATAAAACTATGCTAAAATGTCTCTTCATTTTCGTTGACCAAAACGAGACGAAACGAAATGTTATAACGTTATTTCGTCTCGTTTAGTCGCGTTATTATTCAATTCAAATCAGAGCGTCTTCCGTGTCTGGAATGGATGTATTCTTGAGTCTATAAGGTAACAATAATATAATAAGATAACTTTGTTTGAAATGGGTTTGGCTAAAAGAAAATGTTGGTTTCGTCTATACTACTAGGTACTTATACTATATTGACTGGGTTAAATAGAATTGCATTACTAAAAAGAGACTGAAAATACAGAGAAAGAGAAAAAAATACAGTTTTCGTCGACTAAAACTAGACTAATTGTCATAAGTTTTCGTCGACTAAATCTACACTAAAATGTCATCAGTTTTCGTCGACTAAAACTAGACGAAAATAGTCATGGATAATTCTGACTAAAATAAGACTAAAATGCTCAGACTTTTAGTTTACTGAAACTTGACTAGACTAAAAAGAGTATGAACGTGACTAAAACTAATAAAAACTAAAATGACAGCTTCACACAAAGACTAGACTAAAACTCAAATTAAAACAGGCCGCCAAAAACAACACTACCTTGCTGCCTATGAAACAGACATTGTTATTTTCTGATGTAACTGCAGTATTTTGTTACTCATATGTTGTCTGATTTCTCAAGAAGAGTTGCGCGAGTCTTGATAAGGATAATTTAGCCAACAATCCAAGTCCATATGCTTTGAATCGCTATATAAAGAATAACAGACATTTTATTTATTCTGCTGCTTTATGTTTGTCGCTGTTGTGTCTCAAATCCAAACATTGCCTGTTCAGTCCAGAAAAGCAATGTTTCATTTTTTTTTATTTTCTTTCGAAGACATTCTAAATCATCTCGGTCTGAATGGATGTAAACAAACTTAAGACATCAGTCGATTCAGACCACTGTTCAACAGTATACTGTTTAAAGCTTCTACAAAGCTTCGCCTTACAAGAATATCAACAATCCTTCAGTATTGTTCCCAAAGGTCAAAAGATGAACTGAACAGCCTCTCTGTGCTTATCCATGCTAAACAAAATACAAAAGCATGTAAAATTTAGTTGAAAAGATTTTTATCATGCTCACAGTAGATTTTCATTTTTAAAAAATGCATTTAAATATGTATGAATGAAGTAAACTAAATACAGCTATTGCTTGTCTAGTATAAAGTACAAGAGTATACAGGAAGGTCACGGATGGAGACTGTTTTTTTGTTGTTGGTGTTTTTTTTTTTATGAAATGGTTTGGTTGGTCTTTTTATATCAAGGGATAAATATGAGATTACACTTTCCTAATCGTTCAGTTCTTTGGGCACCTTGTTTTTTAGAATATTCAAGAGGAAAACCCTCAGCACTCCAAATTATTCATGTTTTTGTATCCATATTTTATAAGCAGTTGTATTTCGGCGCGGCTTTTAGAAATATTTTGGTGTGTAGTGTCAGCTGCCGCTAAATAATATTTGGTATAGTCATGAGACCACACATATCTATTTATCTCAATCTGTTTTATTGCGATAGGAATAACACTTTATTTATATACACATGGATTTTGAAATTCACATTGTGGCTTGTGGACTTTTCATAGTGTATCATTAAAAACTGATCTATTTAAATGATGCGTTCTGCAATTCATTGCATGTTTATTTAGACAAAACCCCAACGTGACATTGTGCGTTTATCAAAACGCTGAATTCTTGCTCATCAAAACGCTAATTCACACCGACACTTTATTTGGACTGTGTTTAGTTTGCCAGCACAGTCCCTATCCACTTTCTTTTAAGCACACTCCTCTGAAAACAGCCTGTCCAAGGCTGATAAAGAAGGCTTTTATTGCTAAAGGATGCACTCAGGGTGGGTCCATTTACCAAACTACCAAATCTGAAGTAATTACAGTCTGCTTTTGAACACATCTCTAGTATATGTGTTTGTGCTGAATTGCTGTGAATGGATGTTGTATCTTAAGATTCCCTCTTAACCTTGGAAGGACCATCAATTCACCTTTTGATTCCATTATTACAATTCAGCGAATGTTCTTTCGCTGTGTTTTGTATTTTCTCTAAATTAGATGCTGTATTCTTCTCTTTTCTCCCTGTGAATGACAGCGATCTGTTGAAGATCTGTCTGAGAGGATGTCAAGCAGACTTATTCTTGTTCAAAGAAATATTGCCTGAGAGACCAAAGGGGTCAGATCGGTTCTGGACGGATATATTCAGTGTTGTTAGTATTCTCAGAAACCTTATCTTGTGTAGTTTATTTTACATATAAATATTTACACGATGCATGTTGTCAACTGACATGTATACTTTATTATTATTATTATTTGTTTTTCTTTCTAGACATTTTTCTGGTTATATGATTTCATTTTTCTCCAGTTAATTTCATATATTTTAGTTATCTAATTTTAAATATTCATTTGATTGTCAGTGTTTAATTAAGCAATAGTTAATTCAACAATGAAATTGTTTACTGTCATTGTTTACTGACCCTCTTGTTTACATTGTTTTATGTAGAATTGTTTTTTGGACAACAGATGTGATTTAAAAACAATAAATAAAAGATCACAAAAGATATGAAAACTTATTTCATTTTCAATTCATAACTTTCATGTATGTTTACTTAAGGAATAGTTAATTCAACAGTTATATTTCTGTCATTGT